ACAATTATGTCGTTAGATGGTGGAAGACCCCGTTCTTTCAGATCAGGTGCTGAAGTATAAAACTCCAAAGTCTGAGTCCTTTATGCTGCACAGAAGCAGTGCAGAATTCAGGCAGATTGTCATTCACCAAATTCTTACAAACAGGCCTAATGAAGGCAGGGGTGGTGAGTTAGAGCGGCAGATGCTGGGGTTTCACCAAGAACAGCATAAACAAGGGTCTAATCATGGCTTCGCTCAACTTCCTTCCCTGCTGCAGATTCTGAGCCATGTTTAGACTTCGTTAGTAACATGGATTCTTTCCTGTCTTAAGGGGGGAAAAAGGGCCAATTCCCTAGTATTCATCCTCATCTACACGTGATTTGGTGCAAGTCAGCAAAGGCATGGAGGGAGGGGTTCTGAACTTGGAGTTGAAAGGGGGTTAGGCCCACTGCACCCCAGGTGTGTGGTGAGGGGATACTAATACCTGCCTTACCTACTGCCATGGGTGGATCCCTCAGAAGGGTGCCTGAGGCAAGAGAGAGAGTGCATGTAATTTTTTGGGAGGTGATCCTTGAATACTCTAATAGGAGCTGGGGAGGTGAGAGAGGGAATGGAAGGGAGCCAGGGCAAGGTGCATTAATGAGCAGGTTCCTGAGAGCCCAGCTGAGGCTCAATTCCATGGGGACCTCTGTAGACAGAGCAGACACACCTTGGAGTCCTTGGGAGTTTCCAACCAAGGGAGGAAGGACGCTGGGGGATTAATCCTCTCCTCATCCATCCCCAGCTCAGGGCTGCCCTGGAAGCATTCTCTCCCTGGATATTGGCCCTGCTCCTTGCACAGGGTGAAAAGTGTCCTTGGGAGTTTCCAACCAAGGGAGGAAGGACGCTGCGGGATTAATCCTCTCCTCATCCATCCCCAGCTCAGGGCTGCCCTGGAAGCATTCTCTCCCTGGATATTGGCCCTGCTCCTTGCACAGGGTGAAAAGCACAGGTGCTCTTAATAAGATGATTGTTTGGAAGCATGAATGCTCAGAGACTGCGGGTGGGACAATGAAGGCATCCGCCACACCTGCCCTCTAGGATGTCCTGTTGGGAGGTAAGGTCCCGGGGCAGTCTTGAAAACGGAGTGAATGGAGGGAAGCCAGGAGTGAGGAAGGTCACGCTTGGGCTCTGAATCCCTCTCTGGGTTCAAAATGTTTCACCCTCAAGAGGGACCAGGAGGTCCCGGACACATTGTTTTAGAGGCAGTTCTGTCTATCCAGCACTCCTAAGTCTGCAAAAAGAGTTCATTTCTCTAGCTTGGGACAGCAGTGGCCTCCACTGTGAAGCAGCTCTGCTTTATGTTTCTGTTGTCAAGACCAGCCGCTGCTTGTCAGACATTCTGCCTAGACTCGAGCCCCTGGAGACCACGAATAAATGAACACGTTTTCAAGTTTCCATGAGCTGAATCCCTCTCCAATTCAGTAAACATTGACCAACAGCCAGTCAGGAACGAGGCAGCATGCTAGTAATGTGACTAGTTTCCTATCACCCAGAATTTATAGAGCAAGATCTCATACAGCCCAGGCCCAGGGGACAGGCGGGGTTGGCATTAGGGTCATCCATTTTCCAGAGAAGGAAACTGGGGCTTAGGGAGATGAAGTGACTTGCCCAGGGTCACATTGCTGGTAAACTTCAGAGCACAGGCTTGAATTTAGGTCTTTTGCCTGCAGATTAATTCAGTAAACTTGTACCAGGGTCTACTGTGGGCCACGCTCTTGTGATACCAACCCTACAGTTCTGGAATCAAAAAATCGAGCAGGACCATGGAATCCTGGCTCTCCTTTTCATCTTTTCCCTAAACTGCCTCCCATTTCCAACTACTTTGCGTTTTAGTTTTACAAAGACGGTAACAGAGCCTCCTTCTAAATGTTTCCTCTACAACAGATAAAAGGGTTTAGAAGGCACCAGGAACTTTATAAACAAGAAGCCAAAAACAGCATCTTTCAAGGTCTTCAGAGGGAGGGTGGGATGGGCCAACTTCCAAGATCCTGGCAGCGAGCTCTGAGACGGCCTGGGTGTCTCTGCAAAGGTGTCACTGCTGGGGCTGGCTGTTTGTAAGTCAGCGCTTAAAGGGGGCAGGAGGGGAGGGAGCGAGAAACAGACAGGCAGAGGGAGGACGCAGGGCACAGCAGAAGACAGCACAGCGACCTCATTTAGAAGCCCTTTTTGAGGTCAATGGCATGAGGTCATTTAGGATCTAGCAACCCCAAGGTAGAGGTCAGGCCCACCCTCTGGGTACATTCCAGAAAGGTCCCAGAAACAGTCTAGGCCAGCCTCTCTTGGAGGTGAACGGTGAGCCCAGAGAAGTGAAGGAACGAACTCACTGTCCCAAAGCCAGTTCCTTCCCACGTCTGAGCCTCAGCTTCCCCTCTGAAGTCAGATGATAGCCAGGAGCCCTCCCAACTTGGGCAGCCTACTCAGTAAATCAACGCCTATCCGTCCTGGCAGTAAGGCACATCTGAGATCCTGTGAATCTGGAAAACTAACTGTTGTGCTGATGTGAACATGCTCCCAGCACAGTATCCTCTGCCAACAAAATCAGTGTCTGTTTTAAAAACATGTAAACGGGGGTATCTGCAAGGCCCGGCTCTGACAGTCTATAAAAGCTGGGCACAAGAGTGGCGAAGGGAGGACCCTTGGGCACAGGTGGGCACCTGAGCACCCAGAGGTTGGCACTTGGGGGAAGCTGAGGTCGAGTGCCTGCTATGACACCTGCCGGTTGGGTGTCCCTGGGTGGAACACCTCTCTTCTCTCAGTTTCTCCATTTATACCAAGAAGTAGTGGGGCGAAATCATTCCTAAGGCCCTGCACATGTGACACCGTACATGTCATTAAGTGTTGGGAACATCTCTAAGAGGTAGGCGGGCTTCCCACGTGGTGCTGGTGGGAAAGAACCTGCCTGCCAATGCAGGAGACATAGGGAGACATGGGTTTGATCGCTGGATCAAAGAGTCCCCCTGGAGGAGGGCAGAACAACCCACTCCAGTATTCTCGCCTGAAGAATCCCACGGACAGAGGGGCCTGGTGGGCTACAGTCCATGGGGTCACAAAGAGTCAGACACGACTGAAGCGACTGTGCACGCAGGCATCATAAGGGGCAGGCAGAGAAAGTGGCGCCCAGAGGGTTTCAACACGCCAAGGAAACGTGGATTTGCCCCAGGTAAGTATCATGATTTTTGAGTAAAAGCTAATCATGATAGCTACTACTTGCTGAGCAAGAAAGACATGCACATATTTCTCTGTGCTGTCTCATGTAGCTCTTCCCACATCCCAAGACGGTAGGTAGGATCATTTCCCTCTTTTACAGATGAGGACACTGGCCTGTGGCTCCGAGCGGTGACTCACATGCCTGTTCACTGGACTTGTGCTCAGGTGGTTTTCAACTCACCTCTCAACTGCTGTTTGCTACAATGCTTTCTTTACAAATGCCTAAGACCAGTCACTGGAGTTGGTGTCTAATCCTAACATTTAGGGGGAAAAAAGGCAATAAAACTGGCATTCACTTGTAGCTGTGATTGGCCAATCAATATTTTACAAAATATTCTCCCAGAACGATATAATTTGAGAACTGGAAATGTGACAAGAGAATTTAGTTGCAATCACTCAAAAAAAAAAAAAAGTAAGTATATCTTTGCCAAGATGCTTACATTGTTCAGCCAATGAAGAAGTAAGACTTAACAAATGGAAAAATAATTACGTTTGCCTAAAATTACATCTTTTGTGCACAGCAGAGAGCTGACATGCGTTTCAATTATCCGCCACGGGAAGACAGATGGGCAAATCTACAAGGTCGCACCATGGAACAGCGGCACCAGAGAACACCTGATTGATCCGAATCTGGTTGAGATTTGCCTGAATGGATCTGAATGACTCGATTTCATTTCTTGCTTTTCCCGGATGATTCTGGGATCTGCTCAGAATGAGTGGACACAGAAGGCACTGCTCATTTCTGGATTTTCCAGAAACATTCAGGTATTGAAAAACATCGCATTAGTGAATGGTCTGTCTCACGGTTCTGCCTAACAACCCTACTAATGACCATAACAGGCTGAATCGAGGTTCCTCCAGGCAGAACACCTGGCCCAGTTCCTCACAGATGCCCTCTGGGCCTCCATTTCCTCCTGGTCACATGGGGAGAGTTGTCTGAGTGGCTGCTGAGGTGCCTTCTGATTCTGACAGCAGGAAAATCCAACAAATGATTCCTTTTCTTAAACAAAACAAAACAAAACAAAAATGGCCTGCAAATAGTGTGTGGGGGAAGATTACAGATTAAAAGGGACTAAAGAGACACATCAAGCAAATGCAATGAGTGGACCTGAGTGGACTCCCTGACAAACCAATTAGAGAGTCGTTTTCAAGATAATTAGAGGAGCAACAGACTTGGAATAAGCATATTAAAACCTGCTAAATGCTGAAGGTACAATCATAGTATTGGGTGATGTTTTAAAAAGTCCTTATCTAGTAGAAATGTATACTGTGATATTTATAGACTGAAATGAGATAATGTCTGGGAGCTGTTTTAAAACATTATAGCAAAAATGGGGGGTGGGGGATGGGGCAAGTCAAGATAAAGCAAGACTGGCAAAACGGAGGAAACAGTGAAGCTGGGTGATGGGCACGTGAGGCTCACTGTGCTATGATCTCAACTTTAGAGTCTGTTTGAAAATCCCTGTAATCAAAAGCTAAAACAATGCCAGATTCCTCAGAATACTGGCACCGACTTAACGGCCACTCCCCACACATTCATGTGCCTGAATCATGTGGAAAGACTGAATAGCCCTGAAAAATAAAGCAGTCGAGAAAAAATATTCTAAGTAAGTTGAAACTGATGTTTTCACAGAGTATTTTCTATTGACTTTGCCTTCTCTTATCTGGAACATTGTACTTTCATTTCTTCTGACATATTTTATTGCATAAACATAACATCTCTGAATATAGAATCTATGAGCTAGAAAGAATAAGCATCAAAAAAAGCCTACCTTGAAATTGAGTAAATTTAATGGTCCCCATTCTCTCCCCGTTCCGGAATACAACTTGACCCTAAAAACAAAACAAACAAGAACAAAGAAGAAATGCCATATTAGCCCAAACACTAGTGATCTCAACTGAAATTCATCAATTGTAGAATCAATTATTACTGGAGAAAGAGCAGACTCCCGAGGAATCACAGATGCAAAATTAAACTAATTGGTTTTAGAATGGTTCTGACTTTATCTGGATAATTTGAGGAGCACAAAATAATGAAACCAACACATGTATATTAAGGCCAAGATATGCACCATCATTATCATCATGACTATTTATTAAACACCCATGTGCCCTGTGTTATCCCAGGACAAGGTCTTCCAGGGTGGTTGGAAAGATGGAGGAGGAGATGAAGCCTGGCCCTGGCTCTGCTCGCATGCCCCACCCGTAAAGATGGGGGTCTTTGCTGAGGCTCTTCATCTGAAGAGTCAGAAGGGATACAGGAATGCAGGGTCGAGGCCTATACATCTTATTAAGGACAGAGAATGTTTCTGTAAGTTCTTCGTGAGTGGTGATGTCAGCCTCAATTATAACTGGGCTATGGGGCAGCACAAAATTAAGCTTCTGGAGCCAGTGAGACCCGACTAGTGTCACAGGCAGCTGAGCACCCCTCATTAGGGACCCCAGGAGCTAAAGACAAGAGTCATCTGCTGCATCTGCCTTGCTGGCTAATTCCCGGCTTCCATGTGCTGGGCTAAATAAGCCAGGAGCATAAAGAGGGGGTGTGGGCTCTGTTGTCTATTTACGGTCCCCCTAAAATTCTGCAACCGAGCAAGGAAACTGACACAGGTTATATCAATGAATCTTTATGACAAGCTTGAGTGGAAAGAGGGGACGATTCTAATTTTATAGATCAAGAAACTGAGATTGAAGGAGGTTATGCCAAGGTCATTGCAAGTGAGGCTGCTGGATTCAAACCCGAATTTGATTTTAAGGCCTGTGCAACTGTACCACAGCATGTTGTTTCTGATCCAGAAATAAAACTCTTCCATTCTTTCCATTAATGTGAAATTAAGAAAATGAATTGTCTTAAAGGTACACAGCTTTACAAGCACAGTTATGAGCTTGCATCGTCAGGGAACAGCACAGACGATACCACGGATTCTGTGCAATTCTCAAGAGAAAGTGACAGAAAGTACATGTCTTCCCATGGTGGAAATCCAAAATCTGAGGCCCTGAAGCTTTTGGAACAAAGAGAATCACTCAACCTGTTGTCGGAATGAGAGACACCTTCTAAGGCTACTTTGACACCTTTTTGAAATCCTGAAGACAGCTGTGAGTAGTATCAGTTTGAAACTAACGCCCACCGAATTCTATATTCAGGTGACGGTAAGCAATTCCCTGGAGTGTGAAAACACTTCAGCGTAAGGTGAGACAGGAGCTGTGATTTTATTTCTAGGGATGACTGAAAAACACAGAACATCTTCCAGTGGATCACTTCTATGCAAATGGATCACTTTGCAAGGGTGGAAAGGGTGCAGATACTGCTCACAAGACATTTCTTTGACAAAGGTGGACATCTAACTAATTCACCCATCTTCTGCCAAGCTTTGAGGAACTCCAGAGAGCTCTAGATACAAAATGTGGACAAATTCCGAAGAATCTTTATTAAATGAAAAAAGTATATGGAAAGGTATTCAATGTGTGGATGGAATAATACTGGAGTGAAATATAGGATGGGAGTGAGCATCTCCTTTCACTTTTGGGTTTTCTTCTTTTTTTTCCTTTCTCCTTTACTTTTTAGATAAAACTAATTAGTTCATCTTGGCAGTGAGGTCTGTCATATTTTATTTTTCTCACAGTAACTACGTTTGTAAACAGAAACTCCTCCTATCTCAATTTTTCAGGTAATGCAGTGGAAGGAGGCCAGCGTCTGAGCATCTCAAAGCTGGATTCAGGGCCCCCTCGGGCAAGTGCCTGAGCGCCTGAGTTACGGACCTAGCACAGCTCCTGGTCTTCAAGAGGCACTCAGTAAATGGGACCAGTAATATTTATCTAAACACACTTAACAGCAGAGAGCTGAAATAAAAAGAGATTTCAAGCACCAAGAAGCTTTACATCTTTTGGGAAGACATTCTCATGATTTCAGGGGGCAGAGGGGTAAACTGTTGGGCCCTAAGCCAAGGTGACGTCACAGCTCAGAAACGTCAGCCCCAAGTGACTGAGTTCCCAACCACACGGGCCAATGTGAGCAGTCAAAGGCGGAAGGCGGAGAGCTCTGTGACTGTGGTCATGGACAATCACATGGCTGTGTGGGCAGGCGACTGGCTATGACGCCGGTCTGGCCAGAGGAGGGCGGCGAAGCTCGCCAAGCCCCCTTCTGAGGGATTCGGCACGTGACCGTGGCATCTGCTGGGTATGACAGTTGATGCCGACTCTGCAAACATGACCATGGCTGGCTGGATGGGGAACCACCGTCCCAGCCAGGCCCAGCTGGATAAGACGACGCGAGTGAGGAGGGCCGCAAGCCAATCAGGTGATGTTCATGACATTCTGCCTGATGGATGTCCTCCACGTGAGAAGGTGCTCAACTCACGACATCCCACAAATGTTTACCTGCTCTGGGCTGAGTCCTCATCTAGGTGCTGATTTCTGCTCTCAGAGACCTTTACATATGATCAGGACAGACAGGCAAAACGTGTTCACCAATAAATGAATGAGGTCACGTCAGTCATGGAAGAGTGCAAGAAAATCAAAAGGCATGCCAGGGTGATGGAGAGAGTCTGGAGGCGCACACAGTCAAAGAATCTGCCTGCAATGCAGGAGACCTGGGTTTGATCCCTGGGTCAAGAAGATCCCCTAGAGAAGGAAATGGTTACCCACTCCAGTATTCTTGCCGGAGAATGCCATGGACAGAGGAGCCTGGCGAGCTATAGTCCATGGAGTTGCAAAGAGTCAGACATGACTAAGCGACTAACACACTTTCAGGGAAGGCCTCATTGAAGAGGGGACACAAGAGCTGAGGCCTGCACAGCAAGAAGCAGCTACTCCAGGCGAAGGGAAGGGCCGAGACAGAGGCCCTCGGGTGGGAAGGATCAGAAAGGGCCAGCACGGGGGGCGAGGCAAGGTAGGCAGAGTCTGGGGTCCCCGACTGGGCTCTGGAGGGGGTGCTAAGTGCAATGAACAGCCATGGGGTGGGGAGCCTAAACAAAGAAGTAATGTGATCTGATTTAAGATTTGAGAAGATTGCTCTGGGTCTCGGACAGAAAGTGGGAGAAGAGACACTGCTATAGTCCATGGGGTTGCAAAGAGTCAGACATGACTAAGCGACTAACACACTTTCAGGGAAGGCCTCATTGAAGAGGGGACACAAGAGCTGAGGCCTGCACAGCAAGAAGCAGCTACTCCAGGCGAAGGGAAGGGCCGAGACAGAGGCCCTCGGGTGGGAAGGATCAGAAAGGGCCAGCACGGGGGGCGAGGCAAGGTAGGCAGAGTCTGGGGTCCCCGACTGGGCTCTGGAGGGGGTGCTAAGTGCAATGAACAGCCATGGGGTGGGGAGCCTAAACAAAGAAGTAATGTGATCTGATTTAAGATTTGAGAAGATTGCTCTGGGTCTCGGACAGAAAGTGGGAGAAGAGACACGGGACAGAGGCTCAGGCATCTGGTCGTCCAGGTGTGAAGCTCCAGTGACAGACTACGGCAGTGGTCACACTCTCCCTCTGACCAGTTCAGAGCGCGTCGCCAAGGTGCCTGAGCACTGTGGCTGGGCAGCAGACACTTCCCTTCTACTTCTGTCCTCTGGCGGGGGATGTGGTGAGCACCATAGTGTGTGACCAGATGTCCCCAGGATACAGACATATTTCCCCAGCATCTTGGCTGCCGCTGGGTTGCTCAAAGGGTGATGATTAAGGTTAAGTCCCTCCCTGGGGGCAGCCTACATCCACTGGTCAAAGTGAAGGCACACAGCGGTTTGAGTCCCCTTGCTCAGGGCAGCTGTGAAGGGCCGAGGGCTTTCCAGAGGCCTCCCGGGGTGGCTGAGGCCAGGACAGCCACTGCGCCCGACTCAGCTCGTCGCCTCCCTGACTCTGCTTCCCTTCCTTTGGCTCTGTCCTGAGAGCCTCCCTGATAAACCTCCTGTATGTGGATCTCTGTCTTGGAGTCTGTTTCGTGGGTGACCTGGCCCAGGACATCTGCCATCAGACGTCACTGGAACAATCTCTTTTTCACAAACCGACGGAGCCTGAGTGATAACCAGTAACGGGTTAAAGTCTGCGTGGCAACTAGACCCTTTGGTTTCACGGCCTGGCATCTTAGCCAGGGAAGCCGGGCTGACTTTGGTTTCTAAAACCCCAGCTTGATCAGGGATTATTCTCTGCTCTTCTCCCCACACGCATATTCTTTATGTACATAGGAATGCCGAGACTCTCCTTCAGCCTTTGTTGCATGCGGTCCAGGCTCCAACAGAGGATCATCCCATCCACCTGAGACCGAGCCGCGTGACGCCTTACGTTCCACAGCAGTGGTGTTCGATAACTTTGGCTGGGGTGGGGGCTGGGGTGGGGGCTGGGGTCTGTCGGCTCCCAGTCCACGCTCACTCCACCATTCCTCGTCTGTGTCACAAGGGCCCACAGCCCAGAAACCACACTCCCCGGAAGCCCCCGCCAGCTGGTTTCTATTTAGGCTCTGCTAATGAGAAGCGTTCACAGGGGGTTAGAAAGTGTGCGGCAGCGAAAAGCCTTTCGCTTTTGCAGCAGCAGGAGCTGAGAGACTGCCGGTGTCCGGGGCCCCAGCAGCTCCGCGCCGCGAGTGTCTGCAGCGGGGCTCCGGCTGACTGCTCGGCGGCAGTGCTGGGGTCCCAGCGGCAGCAGAAACAGCAGTGGCAGGGACCTCAGAGGCCAGAGAGCTGGGGTCTCCGCGATTTTATCTGCATTTCCACTCTGCTCTGTGGCCACTTAGAGACTCCGTGGAAGCTGGAATCCATTAGCAATCAGCACGCAGCCAAGAAAACAGAACGTACTTCAGGCGTGTCAAAGGCAGCGGCAACTGCGGTCCACTTACTGCTCCTGCCGCCCAAG